AGTATAATCCTCTTTTTTTTCCTGCCTTGTTCTTCTTTTTCTTCTTCTCCTTCTTCTTTTTATCAGCTTAAGAAATATTGAATTTTATGTTAAGGGCAATTATTGTTAAGTCCTTATAACCATACTTAAAAATATAAAGATTGACAACATTAAACTTGAGAAGTTAGGAAAGTATTTTTTTTTTTAAGATTGAATCCATTGACAAAATGCCAAACATGCAAATTATGTTCTTGTGATACAAAATTGACACCCTTTACATTTATGCACGGGGCATGTTTTACATGAAATTTAAAATGAGTGTTATCTGTCATATAATACATTGTATGATATTTAATATTGTCTGGCTAGATTTGAGTGTTGTCAAATTTAATTGGAGTAACATCATCAATATTTACATAGAAGGACGTTTCTTTTTTTGTTTTCTTTTTTGTAAGTATAAGCAGTAAATGTTGTCAACGATAAGAAATACCTTCCCTAAGATATTAAGAGTGATGGATAGCTCAGTCTATTATGATCAACATCTATATTTATATTTATAATTCATGAGTAGTATTGGGTGTTTTAAACATTGATTCCATAATTTTTTAAATGAAAAAGCACAACTGCACATGTCACCTGCACCTAAATTCCCTCTTGTGCTAAGGCAAAGGTAAAAATTCTTAGAACCCATTTGATTATTGAAAATAAGTAGCATAGAATGAGTTGATAAAAAAATAGAATGAACTAAAATGGGGTTATAGGTTGACAAAGAGATGAGGATAATAGAGAAATGAAAGTCACGAGATGATAAAAGGGTGAGAATGAATATTAACATGAATAAGGTTATCAATCCCTATTCTTACCCATTCATCACTTCATGACCCTCGCTTCTTTATGATTCTCACTTTTCTATCATTCCACAAGCTTATCTTAGTATATTTTATCATTTATCAACACTCTATTCCATTCATTTTCTTTCCAACAACTAAATGAGCTCTAAATCTCGTGCTTGGTAGAATCATGAAGTGACGACATGGCACATGAGCCACCTAGGTAATTTTGTTTCCTTGACTTTTTTTTCTTTTATAATCTAGAATGAAATATGTCATTTATGTGTATTAGAACTCAAAAGTTTAAAGAAAACAAAAGATAGTGTAAAAAAAAATTGAAGTTTAGCTGTTTATACACAAGTCGTGATGGATTGAAAAATAATATTCATCTATATGAGCATAACATCTTGAGGTGTTTAACATGGCCATAAAGTCCTTTGAGGTCTCAGCAGGCAACACTTAACTATTTGAAAAAAGACAAGTTCATCATGGAGCTTTAGATGCTTTTTGTTCTTTAACATTTAATTGAAGTATTTAATATTGAAACTTTTTTCAATTTAGTTTTGATCTCTCCCTTCAAAACTCCCCTCAAAGCATATATTAGGCGAGAGGGTGTGCATGCTTTTCATGTGAGAGAGTCTTCTTTGCCAAAAAAAAAACTTTTTTCTCCTTTTCTTTTTAGATTAATAAACAATATACGATGGGGGATAAGAGCAGGTCATTCACTTTTTAGTCTTCTTTACTAAAAAAAAAAAACTTTTTCATGTTCTGCCTTTATATTCATTGAAGGCACTTTAGGTGTGCAATAACACGTGACTTGAAGGTGGCTTATGCTTACATGTAAGAAAAAGACCTACTCAAGCATATTCTAGACCAATAAGTTCACTTGACCTCATTATGAAAGCATTCTTATTAGTCATTTGGTCTCGGATGAGTAAATATGAACTTTTCATTCAACTTCTCCAACTTAGCATTTTCTTGTCAACAATGGATTATTTTTTTAAACTATAACCTAGCCATTCCATCCTAAGAATGAGAGACCATGCAACACAAATACAAGCAAGCAAGACCAATCTAGAACCAAATTTTTAGGGGTGAAGATGCAAGACTACATTATATCGAGGGCTAAAATTAATTTTAGCATTTTTAACAAATAAAGACAAAGCAAAATGAATAAGTTTATTGTGCAGGGACAATCAAATCCATTTCAACATACAAACATGTTAAAGCAAGGTTTGAATTAAGACTTCTTCAAAGAAAATAATATTACTGTTAGACAACCAATCGTTGTCAAAGCAAAGAATGGAATTATAAATTCCATGAACTTGAAATTTAAAATATTTAATATATTTTATAAGTATAGAAAAAGTTATATTGTTTGCAACATAATAAATATTTTCAAAAATATTAATGTCATACTTGACATAAAATAAATAGTTTACAAGAAGCTGAACGCTATTATCCATTCATGGATCTTAAAAATGTAATTTTCCCCTAAAACTTCACATAGATTAAGGGATCATTTTTAGAATAGTGAGAGAGACGATATGATTGATCAAGTATATATATTTTTACATAAAATTTTGATTAATAGTCAACACTATTCTAAAATACAAAATTTTAATTAAATTATAATTAGTTAGAGAAGGTTGAGATTTAATATAAGTATTCCAACTCTTATGTAATGTCTATAAGTTGCATTGAAAAAAAAAACATATGCTCTTGCACAACATTAGCTTGGCCAAAATTTATCTCATCATTTTCATTATTTATGCTTAATAATCAATATCAATGATCAATAACCAATAATAACAGGGAGAATTGCCCAAAAATACCTCACTAGCAATTTATTTGCTAATAAGGACTTGGGACAATTTAATGATTTATGAAACTTGGTCCTTCTTTGACATTAAATCACATGTATGTAATGCCATTTTGCTCTTGTAGCATAAAAAAAAAAACTTCACACAGAGTTCCTCCTACCGCTCACAATCAATTGCATATCCATGGAAGGTCATTACACCCAGGCGAAAGACGGCGGAGGCATCGTCGTTGGTGGTGGTGGTTGCTGACAAAGTCGAGGAGTATTTAGATGAGTGTCTCAGTGTATCAATGATGGCATTGGAGGACCATCTTAGGCGTTGCATAATAAGTTGGTGACTTTAGTAAATTTTCCCCATTTATTCGAATAATTCCATTGCTACTTAAATTTGTTAGTGACATTGGTTCTCCCTTATTAATATTCTATCAAAGTAAAAAAGGTGAAAGGGAAAGAATCAGAGAAAGGGAAATCTAAGGTAACTGGTTTGCCCGAGTTTAAGAAGGAATTTTTGGCCAAACAAGAAAGGTAAATGGATATTTAAGTGAACGATAGAGGGAAACAAATATGTAAGGGAAGCCTAGGAGAAATTGTTTGAGGAAGAGATGAGTGAATATGATAAGATTGCAAGAGAAGAAAGAGAAAGGGCAAGTACCTCCTCAACCAAAGAAGAAAAATTGTTAACAAGATGCTCCCTAAAACAATTTGTAGAAGTGGCAATTTTTGTAAGGAATAATTGACAATTGAAGAGTAGGGTAGATAAAATTGGGTTTGGTAAGATTCTAGATGTTAGGTGCACCAAATTACACATGTTTTATGTGCTGAAATTGTTAAAGCAATCGACCTAGCAATTTCATCAATATTCATTAGAAAAGTGAGGTTAGTTATAAATGAAACATTAGTTGGAATGTCAACAAGGTTGCCTTGCAAGGGGAGGTGTTAGTAAGGAAGTAGCAAGTAGTACTAATGACTTATATTTAAAGTTTAAGAAGAAGTATGATAGAAAAAGCTTTAATGACCTTAAGAGCATGATCAAAGGTTTGATTCATTATTTGTATTTTTCACACTTGGGATTTTGTTATACCCTCTCACATTAGGAACTATCACACAACAACTATTGAATATGATATATTACAATAAAAGCACATTATATTCACACAATTGGTCCAATCTTATGGTGAAAGAGGTTGGAGATTATTAGGATGCTTTGATAAGAGGAAAAATAGGGAAATATTTTGGTGAATGCTTTTATTTTTTGAAATGCAAACTTTAGTATGTTAATTTAAACTTTGTATTTATTTAGTTAGTTAGTTATGTTAACTCATATATTTTGATGCAGATATTGTTATCTGAGAAGTTTCTATTGGTTGGGTTGCGCTACCATTACGAGATGAGCCACTTATATATTGGGATGATGATGAAGTAAACAAGATTGTTCAGTTGGATCTTTTAGTATGCTGAACTTAAATAGTTGGACTCTTTGAGCTTCTTCCTTCATACTTAGGGTCTCTTTTCAAGCTTGCACGCCATCTCCAGGCTTCCTTACCATCAATGCCATGTCATTTGTGCCTTGGGGTCTATCATAATATTTCTTTCTGTTTCTTACTCTCAAGGCTTATGAAAATGTTATATAAACCTGCAATTTTCAACATTGAAGGAAAATACTTTCATTAGCAAAAAAAAAAAAAATCATAACATCATTCTATCAATTTCTACATTAGGTGTCACCAACCTTTGCAATATAAGGACATACACTTATAGAAGGAGCAATGGTAGAGCAAATACTTCATTCAGCCTCTTTTGCACTCTTTTAGCGAAAATATGAAACTCAACCTCTTTTGCACTCTTTTAGCGAAAATATGAAACTCAGAATTAAACTCTACTGTCACCAAACAAATACAAAAAAAAAAAGAATAGCTAACCTAACAAAGTCATCAACTTGGTTATCAGATAGAATCGAACGTTGGGTTGCAGACGATAGCATGCTAAAAAAGAGCATCTTTGCTTGAGCTTTTTTCCAATGTTATAAGGGCAAAATGGTCATTTTATGTAGGTGAAGCCAGAGAAGGACCAAGTTTCAAAAATTGTCTCAAGTCTTTTATTAGCAAATAAATAATTGCTGAGGTATTTTTGGACAATTCTCCCACAATAAGAAGAATGTCTCTCTTTTTACCTAAAACTGTTCCTCCTCCTCCTCCTCCTCTCTCTCTCTCTGTTTTATTTTTAGGCAATAAACCAGACTAAAAACCAGAATTATCGTGCTCGTGCATGTCATTATTTTTTTCTTTTTGGGAACAGAAGGCGCACGTGCCTCCTGAACGCACCGTATCATCCTTTCGCTCGTACATAGATCGGCAAATAAAAGCCGGTCTGCGCTACCCATCGAGCCACTCTACGGGTTCTCTATTTTGCATCATCTCTTCAGATCTGTGCTTCTAAATCTCAGATCCTGTGCGAGTAGGGTCTCATCTCTCTCTGCATTTCTGGTTTTTCTTCTGATTTTGTATCTGGGCTGGGATTGGATGGCAACTCTGTTAATGGACAGCAAACTTACTTAACTGCCAAGCTCACAATTTTCTTGATTTGTATTTTGCAGATTCCAGAATTTCCGTCTGCTTTACAAGATGGTAAATCTTCTTGTCATTTTTAAATTCCTTGATCTGCTATTCTCCTAATTGCCTCCGTTTTGGTTGATCACCGTGTCACGAAATGTTCTCCAGTCTCCGTTCCAATGCGTTGGTTTATGATCATTTTAATGCATTATGCCCCTAATATTGCTTTGGTTTATATATTGGTAATTCATGACCATTTGGATTTATTGTGCAATTGATTAGATTTTCTTATTTCACGCTTTTTATCGATTCGTGTCAATTGCATACTTTGTTCGTTGGCCTATGTTTACCCGAGTCAGTGATCTTGTTTGTATTTAGTCAGTTACTTGATCTGTATTGCATCCAACGGAATGGGACATTTTCGTGATAATATATTTGTAGCTTGAATCTTCTTCAAGATTAATGTTAACTTTTTATCTTCTTGTTTACCACTTTACTTTGGGTGCTTGGTTTACTTACCTCTTTAATAGCTGTGGTTCTTTGTTCCTGTCAAGTAGCTGAACTTGCTTCTATAAGGACAGTGGATCTGGAAGTTGGGTTGCCAAGCCATGTTTCGTTTTCTCCATTTACTGCTTTGCATTGCTGGACTGCCTATCTTCCCCAGTAAATGTTGGTTTTTATCTTTGTTATATCTGTCATACAGGTTGTACTTGCTGCATCCATTGTGAGCAAATCTGGGAAAGGTGAGCTTTTTTAGTCCCTTTCTTCACCGTTTGCCTGCCTCTTGTCAATTTGTCACCTCACTGAAAAGCAAGTCATTAAGGGAAATAGAAATGTAGTGGATAAGCTGCTGTGGAAGATTCCCCACCCCTCATTAATTAACTAGAGTGATGATAGAGCACAATGGCATTGTACAATCTATGTAACCAACCCTATTTAGTGGGATAAGGCTTGTTGTTGTTGTATTAATTAACTAGAGTACCAACATAAACAAATCTGTCATTCATTTATTTGTTTCTTGAATTTGAAATTACATGCAATATTGTAAACTGTAGCTGTAAGGCTGCAACTGATCCATAATGCTCTATTTTATGGTTACATATTGTTGCTTGCTTCAACTTTTTTTAAGATTTTGTGTAAGACTCCTTTAGCTTGTTAGTAACTCAGCATAGAGTGTAAAGCTACGAAATCTTTTTCTTACACTAACATTTCAATCTTTAAGGAGTTCATGTAGACATTAGCTACATTTTGTTAATAGGCATAACCTAATTTTCTTTTTTATGCATGGAATTTTCCTTGAGTTCTTTCCCTGTTTACTTTCTCTACCTAGGATAAACTTTCAGAGCTTAAAGCACAGCTAGGTCTCATTAATTTTGATTTATGGTGTCTAAGTGTTTATGAATTCAAGATCAATCTCTTCACAAATCTGTCCTTCAATTGCAGTTCTGGTATCGAGACAGTTTGTAGATATGCCTCGTTCAAGAATTGAGGGTCTTCTTGCAGCCTTTCCCAAGTTAGTAGGCACTGGAAAACAGCACACCTATGTTGAGACTGAGAGTGTACGCTATGTTTACCAGCCAATAGAAATACTGTACCTGCTTCTTGTGACAAACAAGCAGAGCAACATACTGGAGGATTTGGAGACTCTAAGACTTCTCTCCAAGCTTGTATCCTTTTAATAATGCTTTCATTTTGACATTTTATACTTGTACTTGTTTCTTTCGATGGTTTGATTTTCTTTCTCCTTTATGATCAAGGACATTGTTGACCTTGTCATAAATTTTATAGGTTTTATGTCCAAAATTTGATATATTTTTTTCTTTTTCATACTTCCTCTCATTTTGACATTTACTTGGTAGAATTATCAATATGAACGTTTGCACTATTTTGGCATTTAGTGCTTAAGAAGGCATTTAGCAAATATGCTAATTGGAAGGTTCAAAGGGTTTAAGGAATGATCAACTTATTTACAGTAGGAAGTTGCTTTAACTTTTATAAGATGGGTGTATTTTCATGATAATTTTGATGGAGATGTGCATAAAAGTTGTTCTATCCTTAAGATGGCTTAGGTGCCTGAATATTCTTATTCCCTTGATGAAGAGGGCATCTGCAAGAATGCATTTGAGCTGATTTTTGCATTTGATGAAGTCATCTCTCTTGGGCACAAGGAAAACGTGACAGTCGCACAAGTTAAGCAATACTGTGAAATGGAGAGTCATGAGGAGAAATTGCACAAGCTTGTTCTGCAGAGTAAGATAAATGAAACCAAGGATGTTATGAAGCGGAAAGCTAGTGAGATTGATAAGAGCAAGGTATGAATGGAAGGCTCCTTCGTCACCAATGTACTCACATTTAAAAGTCTTGGATTGTCCCTCATTTATCTAAAGTCACTGCATGTGTTCTACAGATTGAAAAGAACAGAGGTGAAAAAGGTGGATTCATGTCTTTGCAGTCGATGGGCTCAGGAAGAATTGAAAGTAGCTTTAATGATTTGAGCATATCTAGCAGTGGATCTGGTTTTGGAAGTGGCTCTGGTTTTGGGCTCAGCACTGACATTGATTCATTTTCTACCAAATCAAAAGGTTGTGTTTTAGTATCCTTCTGGAGTGCTTTTAAGTTCTAAATCTAATGAGTTGAAACAGTAGTTGAACCATTCTGTATCCTGGTTGCAATTATCATGCTCCGACAGATGAATTACTATGTGCCTGAATTAACACTTAGTTTTGCTATTAGTTACTTATTAAGACGTGCTCTTTTCACTTTTGTGCTCCTGTATTCTGTTCCCCAGGTCAACCACCAGCATCTGCTACTGCGCCACCTAAAGGTTCTGGCATGCAGCTTGGTAAATCTCAGAGGACAAACCAGTTTTTGGAATCATTGAAAGCAGAAGGTGAAGTCATTCTTGAAGATGTTCAGCCAAAACTTGGCCAGTCTAGACCAGCTGCCCCACTGGCTACTGATCCTGTAACTTTAACTGTCGAGGAGAAACTTAATGTGACACTGAAACGAGACGGTGGAGTGAGTAATTTCGATGTCCAGGGCACATTGTCTCTTCAAATCCTTAACCAGGAGGATGGTTTTATTCAAGTTCAGGTATCTTATTCTGTCTTCTAATACTTTGAAGTGTCCATAGTGAATAGTGATACATTTCCTTCTTGTTGTTTTAATTTAACATAGCTTGTCTTTTCTTCATAGTTCATTATTTTTTGTTGATGCCAATGTTTTTTGGGTTTGTTAAATCTCTTCAGAAGAGTAGCAAAGATTGGTTTCATATCAGACATTGGCTTCTCAATTAGAGGGGATGAAACCTGAGAGGAAGATGTTGAGGGCTTATAATCTAGTTTTGAGTAGTCTGTTGCTTCTGATGCGTGATACATATCTATGTTATTTATAAAAAACTCTCAGGAATATTTTTGTAAATAATTCATAAAAAAAATAAGGTACAAAGAAGCATTTTTATTTTTGATACAATTTTAGGTGCGAATGCATTGCTCTTTTGAAACATTAGTAGTGTATGCAAATTTTAATTGTTGGAAAAGAAAGAAATGTGATGGTTTTTTAAATGCTATGACTTGCATTGCAGATTAAAACTGGGGGCAATCCAGGCATCCTTTTCAAAACGCACCCTAATGTGAATAAAGAATTATTTTCCTCTGAAAATATACTAGGTCTAAAGGATCCCAATAGGCCTTTCCCTACGGGTCAAGCTGGCGATGCAGCTGGTGTTGGCCTTTTGAAGTGGAGGATGCAAAGCAACGATGAGTCCCTGGTGCCATTGACTAGTGGGTTCATATTTATCATTAATCTCATCTATTGCTTGTGTTGTTTTACTTTTGTATTATTAACTTACATTGTAAAATTTTTGTGCATGCAGTCAACTGCTGGCCTTCTGTTTCGGGAAATGAAACTTATGTTAGCATTGAGTATGAAGCTTCATCAATGTTTGACCTGCGAAATGTTGTGATCTCAGTACCTCTTCCAGCTCTTCGAGAAGCCCCGAATGTTAGGCAGATTGATGGGGAATGGAGGTTAGATTTAGTTTTCTTCTCCATGAATTAAAATTAGGGTTTGCTCAAAATAAAAATAAAAATTAGGGGTATTATGTCCATGATTTGTGTATATTGCATGAAGATTATATATATAAAATCTCTGGTACATGTTAACGTTTGCTGTCTTGACAACAACACTATTTGGTGATTGTGTTAACCAAGATTTACCTATCACAAGCTGTGGCTTTCGTAGATCGGTCTAGTTAAATGGACATATGCTTGAGAAGTGTTGCATATTCGTGGTTGCTTTGGATGTCTTACATCTCTTTCACTGTCAGTTGAGTATGAATCAAACTCTTATTTTGTTATGTGGAATGTTTCTTTGTTGGATATAGATCGCAGGGGACTGGGATGTTTTCTCGAGTTAATATGTTTTCATTTGGTGTTTGATTTTTTTTTTTTTTGGCAAGCTGTCTCATTTGGGAGGATTCCTTGTTCATTTTATGCTCTATTTTTATTTGAATTCTTCATTTGGCTGATAGTGGGTTGGGATGCCTTGGATGGCATAAATGTGGAGGAAAAGGTTCTGAGACGCCTGGTCAATTGTGATAGCCACTCACGTCTTTTTATGATGTTGTTGGAGAGATCTCAAAAAGGGTAGACAATTTAAAGAGTGCTTTCTTTTAGGGGTTTTGTTAAGTTGGTTCAGGTACTTCTTTCCAGCATAGCTATCTATTTTAATCTTGGATTTTTGAGTGGGCTGCTGACAGAGGTGAAAGGCCTGGGGTTCGGATTCGGGTAGTTGGAGGAGACTTGCTTGGGTCTGGGGATTTTCTGGTCTGATTCGGTGGTTTTCCATTTCTCTATCATGTGTCTTGCTCCCATTTCCAAGATTTTTACCTCAAAGGTTCCAACCTCTAGTTGACTTTGAATTTGCTGGAATCTGAATTCTGGGAAGCCACCAGCTTGGTTTGCTTGCTTGTTAAGACAAGCAAATAAGACGTACTCTGCAGTTTAATATTTATCCTAATGACTAAGTTGAAGGTATTGTTTGAAATGAGATACTTAACCAATGATTTACTTCAGCTGCATTACATTACTTAGGCCTTTCGCACCTAACATGTGTTTTCACTTTTCATATTTAGGAGAGTAGTTATCATTTTCTCCCCCAAGAATAGTGTCAGCCTGGTGTCTCTGAAACAAATTTTCTTTTTTTTGGGCATCTCTAATGATCAGCATCTGTCTTATGCTTGTAACCTCTCTTGTTACTTTTATTTGGACTTTTAGGAGTAATTAGATACATTTTGTGGCAGTATGCCTTGTTTGTAAGAATCGGTGCTTGTGATTGGAGTGCACTGCTGGACACATCAGCTTGTGTTTTTGTTTGTTGCTTCTGTAGGATAGGGCTTATTACTTCAATGTTTTATTATGGTATTGGATTCAGCTCATGATTATTTCTATTACTGTTGCTGCTGTTTTTGTTGCTTCTTTTGATCTGTGTGCGTGTTTCTTTTTTGGGAATAGCCCTTCTTAGCTGACATGCAATGGATTGAAGGGCTTTGTTAAGCTAATACGCTTTCATAATTGTTCTAGGTTCTTTAAGTTCTTCTAACATCCTCTTTTGAGGACTTGTTGACATGGACACACACACACACAGAGATCTGAAATAGTAGAGAAGTCTAGAGAAAATTTTCTCTTGCTTCTGATAATACTTGCCGGTGGAATTTTACATATGTATAAATCACCAGAATAACGAAGTGATAGAACCTCTTCAATATTGGGTCATGAAGCTCCTAGCTGACTGTCACAGTCAAAACAATTAAGATGGATAAAAATATTAACGAATTGGAAATTCAAAAAGGATTTTTTCTGAAAATCTTAAATTAACTTCGGATTCTGGGTTTGTCTTCGTTCATTGTAATTTTCTTTATTTTTTTCCTGAGTTTTTCTTTAAAACCAAACCACGTTGGGGTTAAGAAAAGGAGTTATGGAAATTAAAAGAGTTGTCATTTGTTTAAGGGGATGATTGCGAGGATAGATGATGAAATATAAGAGTAACATATTTTAGAGAAACCTGCCTAGGTTGTAGCTTATTCTAGGAAGAAATAGGTTTCCTTTGGTGTTATTTTTTAAGAGGAAATCTGAGACTTAGCTTTATATGGATGGGTTATTAAGGTTTCCTTAATAGGTAGGAAGCTTAGTTTAAATAGACTAAGCCTTGCACTTGTGAGATAGGCCAGACTTGAATGAATGAATTTCTGAGTTATGTGAATGCTCTCCCTCTCAACTCTGCGTTTCTTTCCGTCTGGTTCCACTCCCTCTCAGTTCTCGTCTCTCATTTCTCCCTCCCTCTGTTTCTATATTTCTCTTATTTCTTCCCCTGCTCTGTTCTTTCCTTCCTGCTCTCTCCCTCAGTTTGAATCTATGCAAGTGTGTGTTACATCAATAGATCTATCTACCTAGCATAAAATATGGAGCAGTTCTATATCTTCTTTCATGTTGGTTTCTGTTTTCATTGTTATAACACCCTATTAAAATTTCCATTTCAGGTATGACTCTAGGAATTCCTTCTTGGAGTGGTCTATCCTCCTTATTGACAATTCAAACCGAAGGTATGCTAAATTTGATGTTGTATTGTTCAGAGCTGTGTTATCCAGTAGTCGTCTGTCTTGAATGTGTCATCTGACTCTCATGTATGTGGCAGTGGGTCTCTGGAGTTTGTTGTTCCACCAGCAGATGCATCTGTTTTCTTTCCAATTTCAGTCCGATTCTCAGCAACTGAAACATATAGTGACCTGAAGGTCTGCTCAAATCTTCATTTTTTTTGGCATGCAGTTCTTGATATGCTTATTGGAAGTAAAGTGATTCTTGAATTATGTGTTAATCTTTCTGGCTGAAGTTGATGCATATCTTCTATTTTTAAGGGAAGCTGTTACATTATTGACCTTTGTCTGGACAGATATTTATCATGCCTATACACTCGCTGTCACAGTAACATTTTAAATGAAGAACCTTCATTATCATCTGTAGTTCATTTCTGGTGCAGCGTGTTTGATTCAGAAAAAGCAAAAATTCTTATTTAACTTGCCCTGTTGCAATTTCAATTGTAGGTTGTCAACATCATACCGCAAAGGGGTGGCAATCCTCCCAAATACTCCCAGAGAATTCAATTGGTCACGGAAAACTATCAAGTGGTGTAGTTGATTATTCCTTGGATTCTGAGCTTCTTTTACTTATGGATGTCATCAAGCGGATCTTTTGCCAATAGGTTTTTCTTTTCCTAGTTTCATCTCTTGTTATACCCATGAAATTATACTTGCACCTTGGTTTTGCTTCGCAAGGCAGGGAAGTATGTTTTGTTTTTCCTTACATTAATGCAAACCTTGAGTGTATTTACGCCATAGCTTGATTTCTCGAACAAGATTTGTAAAAGGATATTGAGTAACATTGCATATAATCTCTTGATTGTAAAGAAAAATTGTAGCCCTTCTAACGGTTGAAATCATGTTTTGATAATCATGTTTTGATCAAAAGCTATTCTCATGTTATTTTGGTCAACAGGTGGTTTGATCAAAACTAACACGATGCTTAACATACACTAAGAACCCTATCCACTGATATACTCTTGAGATCAAGATACCATTGATGGGCTATCCAAGGAACCAAGAGCCAACCTCTTGAGCATTAATGCTTTATGACATTTTGCAGGATCTCCTATGGTTATGAATAACCTGATCTTTGTGGATCTAATCTCCTTGCCATTTCCACTGCCTCTGTGGTTTAACCTTATCCCTCAAATTTTTATTTTTATTTTTGGAGAACCATGTTACATGTGAGATATGTAAGCTACTCAGACGTAATGGAATTCTCTCACTTCCTTCACTACAATTGGCCATTAGCCATTGTCAAATCGAGTGTAAAACAGAATCTGTACAACAACCAGTTGGCCGGCCAAATCATTCAACTCTTCAAAGGGGCTAAGAAGATGTTATTCCTGAGATTCTTCTAAACCACCACAACCTATATGCCCGATCGAGGGCCATATGGTGGAATGCATTATGGTCGTGATGTCTAGTTTAAATTAAAAATATTAAAATGTAGTTCAATACCTTTTTTGTTGAATTTAAAGTAATAAAATCTACCCCTTTGCCCTTTGTGGAAAAAAACCTGCCCTTTTATTTATAGATATTTCATAGGCATAATATGATCGGAAAAATTTGAAGCAAGCTAGAATATATTTTAGAATTTAAAAGTGTAAATTATCCTCATATTAAAACCATTTGCTTAACGCTTAAAATGGGTCCAAATGGCACGCAACGAAGGGGGGCCATTATCCTTATCCGTTTACCCATTGGAAAAGGTTATCTTGGGGATAGATAGTAAGAGACCAGAATAACAACAAATTGCAAAATCTTATGTGTGGAACTGGAATCAGATATTGGACTTGTGATGCTAGATCGCCCCCGTGTCCTTCTCCCTCAAATGTCACTCACATAAGACATTCTTAGATAACAAAAAATTAATAATAGCATACAAAATTATTCCCTTTAAAAAGACTATAAGAATTAATTGATATACTTGATGTTATTATTAACTTTAATTTTAATTGAAATTTAGCTGTATCAGACCTCAAATGAAGAGAAGTTTTCCCAGTAGATATTTTTCTTAAGGATTTTTCATTTGCAAAACTTAAAGTCAATGCTTTGCTTTAGACACATCAAATTTTGCTATCATTTTTTCCCCCTTTTCGCCTGATCTAATGGTGGTTGATTTTATTAACCATTAAGTACTTTGCGTTTCATTTTCCAAAGTGCAACTTGCTTATTAAATGACAATATATTTTTATCAGCGTCACGTCATATCCGTATATATAGTTTTATATAAGGTTTTCGGATTTGAATTCGTGGCAATACAAAATATAGAAAGAGCTACACACGTTCTTGATTAATATGCGAGATCAATTTTGATGTGACTTGCTAAAATCAATTTAACTTTTTTATATATTGACGAAGGGAGAATAATACAAGAAGTGATTGTGTGGGTGAATTGTATTCTTTATTTTATCATTTCATTTCAATATAATAAAATTATGAAAAAAAATCGAATTTATTCTAAAATAATTTTCCTCTTAAACCAAAAAGTTATTTTTTAATGAAAAAAATATTTTCTTTAATGCCCAGCAATGTATAAATAAATCAAAGAAAATTGGCCAAACATACATGAATCAAACAAAGATGGTAAGATATAATATTACTACTAAATAAATAATAAAAAATATAATCTTTAATTCTTATAATTTTATTAAATTTTATTTTTAATTTTTCTAATTTTTCTAATGTTTTTAGTTTTTATAAAGATTAAAACCACTGAAAACTAAAAATTATGGAGATCTAAAAAATAAAAGTTATTTATTTTTTTTAAAATTATAGAAACTCAAAACACTAAAAAAAAATTAAAAGAACTAAAAATAAAATATAATAAAAATATAAGGACTGAATATTACGTTTTTTTAATAATAAAATTTAATTATTTCCGATGTTATAAAAAAATAAAATAAAAGAAAAAAATAGCGTGTGCGTTTAAAATATCTCAAGCCCGAGAGGAAAAAACTCCAAAATGGTGGGTGGTTAGACGAGCGGGAGGGGGAACAATCAATGAATGAGAGGTTGCGGCGAATATCTCTGACTGAACAAACAAAACTACCAAATTCACTCTCTCGCATTCATCTTCCACTTCCAAGACTGATAGGTAAAACGATAAAGGATCCCATAAATCAAATCAGAACAAGCATGACCTCCTGCATTTCACCGATCATCTCTTCCACCTCCTTCGCAATTTCAGACCCAAACAACATGGTTAGTGCTTCCCCCAATTGCACCATGAAGACCCATGTGAGAACAATGATGTCATCATCCTCATCAGCAGCAGCTAAATCTTCTTCGTCTTCCTTGATTTCGCGTCGTGGGTTTTGCCCTATACCCGCTGTAGCGAGGCCAGTCGGTGTTGCCTGTGATTGTCAGCTTTCTTTTAGCAAATCGTTGCATTCGCGAAATTGGACTGTGTCTTCTGCTGTGGAGGTCAATGATTTGTCGTCTCCTCCATCTACTTCGTCCCCAGAAGCTAATGTTGGATCTCGGGTTAGGGTCACGGCTCCTCTGAAGGTGTACCATGTTCCCAAAGTTCCTGAGTTTGAACTTACGGGTTTGGAAGGCGAGATAAAGCAATATGTAGGTCTCTGGAAGGGGAAACGAATCTCTGCTAACTTGCCTTACAAGGTTGAGTTTGTCACCGAGATTCCAGGTCGTGGTACCGTCAAGTTCTTTGCCCACCTCAAAGAAGACGAATTTGAGTTTATTTAACTGCTCTCTTCTTTTCATCTTCTCCTAATCTACTTACACTCCATTAGGGGATGGATAATCTGCTCCCTCAGGCCAGACAAATACACTTTATAATAGGGAATAATGTCCCTGAGCAGTGATGTATGCTTGTGGAATCCCTGTGGGTTATATATCATTGTGCTTCAACCAGTTTTCTGACGTCATTACATCTTCCCGGTGATTTTTGACTGCGCTTCTGAGAATTAGGTTTCCTTTATGCTTTGTAATGGGTGCTCTTTCTCTGTCTTAGGTGGCTGGTAGCAGATGTAAAATTCATGCTGTGAATTATGTCTTTTCTCTTATCTTGGTATTTTGAGTATTCTCCTTTAATGAATTTCTTGGACTTTATATGTTGTGACAAATCCTCGTTCTAGTTAGTTTGTAGAAGAGCATTTGGAGTGCTACCTGAAACATGATGTCATGTTGTTCTTGACCTGGTTCTCTCCCTTAAGCATTTGTACTGTGTTCCGATGAGAATATTCTATGTTGTGGGGTTCTCTTTTTCAAGCTATTGCCATTTTATTAAATAACAGATTCAAGCATTTAAATTTTTTTTTTCTTTTCCTTTTTGATATTTCTTAAATGAAAGTGGATATTTTGTTGTTAATGCGAGCTATCCAGATCGATCAAATTAGAAAGATAAGATTCTCTGATGCAATATGCAAGTGATCGTGGACTCATCCATACTTTCATTTAGAAGGTTGTGTAAACATTTGTTGGTTTATGTTAGCACTGAAATGGTTCTGCCAACCTTTTCATCTTCTCTTGATATAGTGCACAATAAGATAGTCGTTGATTATTTGCAGTTTTAAGCCTCATTCTCTAGTTTCTAGGTTGGAGGTGTCTGTTTGTGGTCTAAAATTAAAATGAATTGCATCCTTTATTAACTTCCTCGTCTGATAATTTGATTTGTAATATCTGTTAATGAATATTAAACTATGATACTTCTTGCTATTTTGGTGGTCTGTTGTATGCATCTTCACTAATTTGAAGAATTTTAAAAAGTAGCATCTGAGTAGATTCTACTTTTATTTAGTCAGAGAATTTTGCCAATCTAGTCTATTATCCCACGTGTAATTCATCCTTGGCATTCCTAGTGGATTTTCGGATTGGAGAGTCTGGTTTCACGTGCAGTCTCATCCTTAGATATTGTTTTTGTTCTTAATCATAATATAATGTTTGGTCAAAGTAAATGTTTTAGGATTTGTTCTTAATTTACCATATTTCACGTATGTCTCTTTTCATCTGTTAGAAATATACATTTCAGTCTTGTATATCCCTTCTATGCTTCACAAGTCAACTTCCATCCTGCTTCAGCTCATCCAGTTAGGATAGGAAAATTATAGATCATGACAAAAAATATGCAGATTTTTGCCTTTAGGGCATGTTGGGTCTAACTTTTGTTTTCACAGTCCTTGAGATGGTTTGTAGCCTTGTTTTTCATGTATAATCAAATTTTATCGAGCAGAATCGATATTGTTGGTATTGCTGTTGATGTTAAGCGATATATCCTGCTACTGTCTTCTTGATCAATGGCTTGCCTGCGCTCAGATAAAATGCTGTTCCAGCTTGATAAAAGAATCTTTTCATCTATTTTAAGTGGCTTATTTTTCTCTTAGTATAAGTTTATTATTACTAATGTTTGGCCAGGAAAATTTCAATCATCTGAGATGATTTGACAAAAAATTGTAGTTACATGCTTAAAATGTCCTAATCAATCGTATTTCTTGTGAACTTGCTTACCTTAAAAGTTTGTATTGACCATTTGTTAACATTTCTTTGTGCTTGCTAGATATGTAGATTTTCCTCTGCTAAGGCCACTCTTGTCCTTGTAAGTATGCTCATATTTGTTTGGGCATATTCATTAGTTAGTATGCTACAACTTACTGCTCCACATTACTAGGACTTGTTCCCTTATTTCTGTGACGTTTTTAATTTGTAGAGAATCTCAAAGAATAGGCTTTAGCTTTAGGGTATGCTTGGACTGAGGAGAATGAAGAAAAGAGAACTTTTAATTCAGACTGCTTTGATTTATATTTGTATGAGAAATACTTCTATTTTATTCTCACCAATTCTTTTCAAACCAAACATGCTTGAGGAGGATTGCTCGCACATCACGCGCATGTATATATGAAATGTGAAATGTGTTCATTAAAATCTCTCGTTTTTCTTTCTTTCTTTCATTTTCTCAATCTAAGGATACCCTTGGTTTTATTTATGACCGGTCTACACTTCAAATCCTCTAAAGTCAATTCAGTTGAAGTAAAGAGAAAAAATAACTGTTTATGCGGGATCTACAGGCACTGAGGAAGGCTTGCCTCCTCCTCCTCGCTCCCTTCCTCCCTCTGTCCCTCCCTCTCCCAACTGAAGCAGATTTAAGAGCTTCTGGGCTTGGTCATTCTTGCATTGCTACTGCTATTTGGCATGTCTTGTTAGGAGTATTTTCCTTGTCAGTATATTTAAGATCAAGAGACCAGGCCCTTGGGTTTGTTTGAATTGAGTAGAATGGAAGGGGAGGAAAGTACTTCCATCATTTTCATTGGTTTAAGTTTTACTTCTGAAATTTGTTTATCATTTAAAAAATATTTAGGTTAAGAAAAATGGATGAGAAGAGAGAATGTCAAAGATCAAATTTGGTTTCTTTCCCTTCACTTTCAGTTCTCAACCAAAACATATTTTTCATAAACACACTTGATAATGGGACTGCCGTTTCTTGGAGATGTCTAAAATAAAACTGCATTGACCGATAGTTCTATTTTAGTGGCCATGAAAAGTGTCTTATGTCTATAATTCCAAAATGTCGTCTTCATTTTCCACAAAATCAGACTCACAAAAAATTGGGGGGTTGGGGGGAAGGGGATTGGTTTCAAGGTTGATGAAAAAGATCAGGACCATTTTGGTCCTCTGATCAACAACTCCCTCTAAACCTAGAGGTAGTAAATGATGAGAGGAATTAGTTTGTGTTATTTAGCTTGTGCATGGACCTTTTCCTGGGTGGAATATAGATTCTCATTTTCATTCAAAAAATTGAATAAATACAATTTTTTTTAAAAAATAATAGTGTGACACTAAGACTTGGTTTGGATGGAGGGGAAAGTGGGAAAAAAATACACGTGAGAGAAGACTAAGAAGAATTTTCCTTCCTCTATATATTTTTTTCTCTATTCAAACGAAAGGTAAGATTTGATGAATCAATCGGAGTCAAGCCCTTTAATGCATAAGTGAGGTTCAAATTAACTGGCTTTTTTAAAAATAAAATTACTGTCTTTTTTTAATGAATTAAATGAGTCAGCTTATAATCTCAAATTACCTACTTTGTTTTTAAGATTTAATATATGAGAGAATTATATATAGATTTCATATAAGAAATTTAATTACTCTAAAATTTATTAATAACTGAACTAAGATAGGGCAACACAAATGACTTTAATTCTATTATTAATGAATATTGTAATAATTAATTTTTTGTGTGTTGGGACTCCAATGTATAAAAAAAAAAAAAGAAAAGTAGATAATTCTTTTAAAAATGTTACTTTTGTTTAGCTTTGAGGAGCCCAAGGCTCGCAGTCGCAGGAGGAAGAGGCAAGGGTTCCTTCCACCGCATGTTAAACACAAACTACTTCAGCCGACGACGACAGTTATTTGTCGCTACAAGTTTTTTCTTAATAATTTTAATTAATTTTTAACTTACGATTATGATTTATGATTGCGATGATAATTAATTTTTAATTAAAGTATACTTTTAATCATATAATTTTATACAAGATTTTAATTTATTTTTTTAATTTTATAAAATATCTTTTTAATTTCTTAATCCTAACACTATTAGTTTCAAATGATCATTTTTTATATACCAATAATTGTTATTTTTAAAAAATAAATTTAATGTGTTAATATTTGAAATTTTTTTTTTCAATGTTTAAAAATTTAAAATAATTTTTTTTATGATAAAAGTAATGGTGTTGGAGTTAAATAATTAAAAAAATATTTTATAAAATTGAGAAATAAAAATGAATTTTTGTATGAAATTAAATGAAAAAAAGTATATTTCAACCTTGATTTTTTTAAAAATAAGTTTACGATTTTAAAAATATAATTAGATGATAATGTGCATAATTTTATGTTAGGTTAAAGTGTATTTTTTGTCTTTTAACTTTATAGAAAATTTTATTTTGATTCATTAATTTTATCAAGTATCTTTTTAATTCGTTAATCCTAATATTATTAATTTTTAAAAATTATTTTTTATACCAGTCATTGTCATTTTTTAAAAAATAAATTTCATATGTCAATATTTGAATTTTTTTTTATATTTAAAAGTTCAATATAAGTAATATTTGTTTATAAAACTAACATGTTTAAAGTTAAAGAATTAAAAAAATACTTTATAAAATTAAAAAAAACTATACTTAAATCTTATACAAAATTAGATGATTAAATATATATTTTAGTTTTTTATGTTATTTTAAGAAAATAAAAGGATGTAAAGTGATACCATGTATCTAATATATTCATTTTAAGAAAAAAAATTATCTATGCCAAAAAAAATTATCGACTGTATAACAATAAAAATGTTGATATTCTTAAGAAAAAATGATAATAAAATTCCTCTAAAATACATAAATAATAATTTATTCTCTTGAAATGTTATAATTTTTTAAAATATTTAAAAATTTTTCTGTCACTAATAAATTTATATAAATTATTAAATTATTTTTGTTAAAAATAAATGATTCATAATTTTTATTCTTATATTTACAACTTTACTTCTTATATTCATAACAATTCAATAGTAAATAATAACTTTTTTTTATTTATTGTTACATTATTATCAATATAAGAAAAAAAGTTGTAAATATAAAAAGAAAAATTATAAATTATTATTTTTAATAAGAATAATTTACTAATTTATAAAAATTCATAAGTGATAAAAAAGTTCTTAAATATTTCAGGAAAATTATAACATTTTAAAAAATTAAATTATTATTTATATATTTCAAAAATATTTTATTGTTATTCTTCCTATTTTCAATACCTTCCTATTTCATGATTTTTTTAAAAAAAGTTAGATAGTCAAAATTTATAAAAAAGCAAATCAATAAATATATTTAAAAAATTATATGGTTGACATATTTCAATTACTATAGTTACTATTATTTTAAAAATAAATGACAAAAAGTAAATCTATACTCAAACAAATGCCCACTTTTTATACTAATTAATTATAAATAATTTAATTAACAAAAAATGATACTATATATAATATAAGTATCTAGTCTCCTTTCCCCTTAACGATTAAAACTAATCTCTCTCGCGGTAGATAAAAAATATTAATTCATACAAAAAATATTGAGAGAAAAAACAAAAAAAAAAGAATAAAACAATAAAATGTAGGTATGATAATTTTTTGCCAGCATAAATGTATAAATTATATAGAAGGGGAGATTATAGAGATTACAGACACAGATACACGGCACTCGTGTATGCTTAAACAAGTGTTTATTTCCATTGGTATATCGGGGTGGTTCTGTATCTGTGTTTCTTCGTTTTGGTGGAGGCGGGCGTTGTCGTGTGTATATAACGCCGGTCCGCCACTTGTTATAAGCATCAACAATGGAGGTTGAGGAGACAGCTAAAACGGTATTATGCCTCTTGACTAACCCTGAAGGCGCTCCTTTGAGAAATCCTATGTATCTACCTCAGAACGCCGGTCCTTTGCAACTTCAACAAATTGTCAATACGCTTCTAGGGAATGTAAGTTTCATCATTTTGTTTACTTCCTCCAGAAAAGTCGACAAATTTGCTATTATTTGTTCTTGTAAAGCTAGAGCAACTTAGCGAATGTTTTTCTTTTTTAGTTCAGTTTATTTATTTGTGAATCCCAAGTAATGGTACTTCTGGGGATGCTTCATTCATGGAGTTTGGAAGCTGAAAAAAACATAATTTCGCCAAATTTTGATTTTTGGCGGAGCTTGCATCATTAGTTACTGGCCACCGTGGTCTTTTGTCTCAACTTCTCGTTAGATGAATACTTTTGTATTGTGTTTGGAAGACATCATACCTTTATCACCTATTGAATTAGAAACAAGCTAAACAGCTTGTTTACGTTGCTTCAATATAAGGCTGAGTTTCTTTTTCCCATTTTAGGAGGAGAAATTGCCATACAGTTTCTACATATCAGATGAGGAACTTATTGTGCCTCTTGGAACTTACTTGGAGAAAAACAAAGGTTAGTCAGAATTTCATTTACAGTAAGTGGCGTCAACTGTCAGCCTCCTGTGCAGAATTTACAGAAATAGTTCTTGATGGATGAATTTTAATAACTAGTATCTGGGCCCTAACTAAGGTTCCCATTGTATTTCTTGTTTATTATCTTTTTTGAACACCTGTGCAGTTTCGGTGGAGAAGGTAGTGTCTATAGTTTATCAACCTCAAGCTATTTTTCGGATTCGTCCTGTCAGTCGCTGTTCAGCAACCATTTCTGGTATGTGAGATGTGTATTTTATTCAGTCACCTTCATCATGGTGCTGTCTTATTTGATAAATTATGTCAAGCCGTGCTGCTTTTTATTTTACTACACATGAAATTCCTACAATTGTTTTCCCCTTTGTCATTATGCCAGTGTTTAATAGTTATAACTATTTTATTTTACTTATGTTAAACTAATATAGTTTCCATCTTTATCTGCTTTGTGCTATTTATTGAAATCAGATGGCCAAGAGAAATTCACATTCAACCTTAACTCTTTTTACATTATCTCTTATCAATACTATGGTTTATTCTAGCAGATTTATGATTAGTGATCAAGCTAGTAAATAATTTCAATACCCTTGAGAAACCTTGGCCCTATATTCTTTCTAATTTGCAGATTTATCATCACACTATCCAGTATTGCATATTATCTGAAATTCATGTTGTTGGGATTGCAGGTCATGCAGAAGCTGTGCTGGCTGTTGCCTTTAGTCCTGATGGGAAACAGTTGGCAAGTGGTTCTGGTGATGCCACTGTTCGTCTTTGGGACCTAAACACTCAGACCCCGTTGTTCACCTGTACAGGTTTGACATCTAAAATCATCAGATTATCTTGGCACCTAGTGATCAGACTTGCATGTTTAATTTAATTAAAACCAGAACTATTGAATATTTAAGCATCTCGTTCTGGTATAAGAACAGAATTGAATCATGAAATCATACAGAAAATATAACATTTGGTTGATCCATTGTGCATGCTAAATGTATTTCATTCAGTTGATCCTTGTTTGATGTTGAAAATTTTAATTTAGGTGATCATATGTATCATGCATTTTGCTTTTCTGGGTTATTGCATCCGTTTTCTTGAAATGAAAATTTTGCACTGAATGCTAGTTTATGTTTGCAACCATGACAAAATAAAATCATTCCTTCCAAAGTTGCATGACGTATGACTGACAATTAATCTTGTTTGATACAGGACACAAGAATTGGGTCCTTTGTATTGCATGGTCACCAGATGGTAAGCATATTGTAAGTGGGAGTAAAGCTGGGGAACTTCAGTGTTGGGACCCACAAACCGGAAAGGCATCTGGCAATCCACTTATTGTAAAGTCTTCAACTGCAAACAGCTTATTTCTATTATAAATATTTGTTTGCTGTCAGAGAATAGAGATTGCTTTTTGTATTTCTTCTGAAATTATTTTGAGAGCATTTTTTGAAGGAGGCTGTGTAAATTTGTCGTGTGTTGTTAAAAAGCATTACTGGTTCATAAGATGCAAGCGTGACAACTTTAATGATTTGGTTAATAACAATAGTTGTGCGTTGATATGAAAAAGAAAAGGTAAGGGTAGCTTAAATATGGACTGGCCTCTTGGTGCAAGGTAGGAAGAAAAGGGAAAACAGACAGTATTTTAACATATGCATATTTCTGACTCTAGATCATTTGATCATAGAGGTTTTGAGTGAAATTGTATGAATAGCTTTACAAATGCAATTGTTGATACCTTTTTGTGGATATTTTTGGGATGCCCACTTTTTTGTATCCAAAATATAGATGGGAACATCATGTTCAGTTATTTCATTTCACTCTTTATAGGGCCACAAGAAATGGATTACTGGTATCTCTTGGGAACCTGTACACTTGAATGCTCCTTGCCGTCGGTTTGTGAGTGCCAGCAAAGATGGGGATGCTCGTATCTGGGATATCACTTTAAGGAGAAGTGTCATATGTCTCAGTGGCCACACACTTGCTGTAACATGTGTAAAATGGGGTGGAGATGGTGTGATATATACTGGGTAATTTGTTTCTCTTTATCTACTTTTGCTGAGGTCTATTCATTTTTTTTTGTCTTACATTAGTATGGGTCCAAATTTTGTAAACTTGGATAAAATTATAGCATTTTTGTTATATATTCCTTGCCAAGAGAAAATATTGTTAGTATAAGTTTACAGAATATGTCTTTATTTCACTGGGTCATTGTGGTTTTGAAACTTAAGATGTCCATGTTATGGTTGTTATTTTTGTTTGTGTTTCCCACTTTTCCTGCTTTTAGTAGTGTCGTTAATCTCAGTGTCTGTATTACCTCCTCTCATAACAAGCTTACTGCGGATGTTTTATATGCTTTATTGTGATTGTTAGATGGAGTTAGGGGTATTAGAGTAACATTAATTTTCGTATTTCCTTTACATAGTTTATTTATAAAAGCCTCACATCAATTATATCTCTAGCAAGACAACCTTTGCTCTATTATATATGCATGCAACCCAAGTCACCCTCCTTTATAAAGATCCCATTTGGTATGATCAAGAAGTTAATTTCTTCTTTTTTGGCATAAAGATTGAGATACGAAATCATATATTTTATCTCTATTATATTACTATTTTTTTTCCCATCCAAGGGTGGCAAAAGACATTTCTCATCAATAAACTCATTTTTTTCCATTCCCTTTTTTCATTCCATTCCATGTACCAAATGGGCCTAAGGCGTTTCAAATGTTCCCTTTTATTCTTTATCAGTCGTATGGGATTTCTTCAATACAGTGTTCATAGAACAATAACTGTGATGGAAGCTGTGATTTCTATTCATTCTTTGTTTGGTCTCTTTGTTCTTAATATATTGCATCATTTTAAGGTATGTTTGATTGATCCATATAAACCTATGTATGTGTCTTAAGCTTTATTTTGTGGTAGCTTTTTTTTTTTGGCCAAAATATTTTTTGGTAGCTGAAGTGTCATGAATTGGGCACATTTTGTTCTGTTTCTATAGCTTATAGGGCCTGGTGTTTGTGATGGTTCACCCAAGGCAATTATTTTGTCAAATTACTTATTCATTTAAAATATATTTACTGGAAACCTTATAAAATGTGTTCTTATGATTTTGCCTCTTGTTACTATACTAGTTCGTAGATATGTTCTTAAGCCATTTGACGGATTCTGATTCTCACTGTTATTAAGCTTATGAGTTATATTTATGAATGACAATCACTGTGTCTGGATACTAGCTTGGAGCCTAAATATATTCTTTTATTATTCATTATTACAGCTCCCAGGATTGCACTATCAAAGTTTGGGAAACTAGACAAGGGAAGCTCATTCGTGAACTGAAGGTGAACATTGTCATAAAGCCATGATATCTTACTGTTTTTTTGTTCATTTTGTGCATGATTATTATCATTTTGCAGACTCCTTTATCTAACTCTTGCTTCAAAATTTCTTTATTTTGTATTATTTGATCTTTAATTTTTCAATTGCCTTGTCCGCTTTTATTGCCATTGCAAGTTTATTTTCAGAGTCATAGTCTGTGGCTTACAGTCAAAGACTTTATCAGCTTCCCTTTTATCTGACAAATGTTTGACCTGAGAAGCCAGAAACGATGGCTTTCAGTCAAATGTGTTTTGATAGCAATCTATTGTTCTAAGAATATGGTCATTTTCCTTCAATATGAGCATGTGTGATCTATATTTTTCTATAATCATTTCTGTGTTGGGTGATCTACTTCAGGGGCATGGACATTGGGTTAATTCTCTGGCACTTAGCACTGAGTATGTTCTTCGCACTGGAGCTTTTGATCATACTGGCAAACAATATTCATCTCCAGAGGAAATGAAGAAGGTAACTGCTAGTTGGTTTAACAAGTGATGCTATCCTGTTTGAATCTTTCTTTTATTTGATGCCATCCTTATGGAGGAAAACTAGAATTTTTTCATACTCCAAATGCATGGTTTTTCCCCCCTTTTACATTGCTAGTTATTCTATAATGTACCCCCTTATCTTTGGTCTGTAGTGAAAGTACCACCTTTCTTGTCTTTTGTTCTACTGGGTTATCTATAATGTATGTAATTATATTCTGAGTTTTTAAATTGTTTTATTTATGTTTTCATGTTTTGATTCTTACAAGTACCTTTGTCTAATGAAACTTTCTTCTTTTCTGTATTACTGACGATATCCGATGCTGCTGTTTAATTTAGGTTGCTTTAGAAAGATATAACAATATGAAAGGCAGTGCCCCTGAAAGGTTGGTTTCTGGGTCTGATGATTTCACCATGTTCCTCTGGGAACCTTCTGTCAGCAAGCACCCTAAAACTCGCATGACGGGTCATCAGCAGGTTAAACCTCTTTTAAAGACTATTTTTTCGGTGCACAGTTTAAAATCGTTTCAATAAGATTTTTTTTAAAAAAATATTTCTTAAAATTCCAATGTGACCTTGCTCTCTGCCACTTAACATCTGCACTCGCATAACAATGTAGGTTTTGGAAGAGTTCTTCCATTGATGCAAGAATTTGGTAATCGTAGAGACTAAAGGGAAAATTACTCTGCAGATCCTTCTAGTTTTACTCGATTTTGAATTAAGTCCCTATAGTTTTTTTTCATTTTTATCAAGCCTTTATAATTTAATAGATTACATATGTTAGTCCTTGGTTGTTAAAATCCTTTAATTTTGCCTTTTAGAAAAGGAAATAAGGACTTTTAAATGTTTATTAAAAGATTATATAATTTTAGCATTTATTACATAATTTTTATAACTCAAAATTTATATAATTATGCTTTCTAGATAACTTTTGTACATATAGAATTTTCATAAAAAATTAATAAAAATATAAATATTATATTAAATAAATTTTTTTAGCTAAAAGTATTAAACCAAATTCTCTATAATTTTTGAAAGTGTTTTTATTTTGAAAAGTTCAATCATTCATTAATAATTTTAACCTTCAAGAACAAACATATTTAATTGATCAAATTATGAGGACTTGATTAAAACAAAATAAATCACAGGGACGTAATTCAAAATTAAGAAAAACTAAAAGGACCTACAGATTAATTTCCCTAAGACAAAAAATAGAAGTTTCAGTAAATTCATTGTGATCCATTCTCAGAGATCCTTTGAGATCCCATTTGCTGGAGGCTCCTATTGTTGTGCCACACCTTGATCCAAATTATGATTTTTATAATATGTGGTTATCATTTTTTTTCTTCTCTTGGTTCATTTGAACGACAGAATTCTCTTATCTGTTGTTAGCTACCTGAAAAGGGTTTTATTGTTGGACACTTTCATCACAAGTTTGGATAAAAAGTAATCTTATTTCTTTTTTTATAAAAAAGATCAAATGTGTATTAACAAAGGAAAAAGATAAAAAGTTACAAAGAAAGAGTTAATAAGGGTACATTAGTAGAGGAAAAAGTAAAAGACAGATTAGGAGTCTGACTAGCGCCACATTTCTGGAAGCTAAAAAAAGTATTTTTAAGAGGAAGGAAATATCATGGTCAATGGGATGATGACTGGAACGAGAGAAAATTCGTCCCTTAAAATCGATGATCAGATTTCCCAAACCATCTCTGTTACCTGTATGTTCAAACCAGAAATTGTGTAAACTCAAGTTTGAAGCTTTTCAATTTTTTTTTATTTTTTTTGGTTGACAGCTTGTAAATCATGTCTACTTTTCACCTGATGGACAATGGGTGGCAAGTGCCTCTTTCGATAAATCTGTTAAATTATGGAATGGCATTACTGGGAAATTTATTGCTGCATTTCGTGGCCATGTTGGGCCTGTCTATCAGATCAGGTACAATTCATGTGACTTAGCTTTTTCCAAACTGGTCCTCCATTAATTATCTGTTACTAAAATTGAGTTTTACTGCACAGCTGGTCTGCAGATAGTAGGCTTCTATTAAGTGGCAGCAAAGACTCCACCCTCAAGGTATGTTGTTTTTTGTTCCTTTCGACCAAAAATACTGAGAAGTATGAATGAGCAACAAAAACTTTGATTGTGACCTTCTATTACGTTTGATTATCAAGGTCTGGGATATTAGGACTCGCAAGCTGAAGCAAGACCTTCCAGGCCATGCAGATGAAGTACGTCAGTTTATATACCAAAACTTGATTTTCTTTTCTCTATGTTATTGTTACATTCTGCTAACTGGTTGGTGTCTAATGCCATTTGGAAACAGGTTTACTCTGTTGATTGGAGTCCAGATGGAGAGAAGGTAGCTTCTGGTGGTAAGGATAAAGTGTTGAAGCTGTGGATGGGCTAGTCTAGCTTTGCCAATATGAGTTCCGGGGACGATGATGTGTTGATATTTGGCGGATTTCATGGAAATCAATGGTGAAGATTAAATTAAAGTTGATATTGAAGAAAGTAGATCATCACCACTTCGGAACTCGAGAGTCGGAAGTGGAGTAACCATTGATTTACTACACTGCTAAAGAAGCTGATAGTCACTGGCTCTTCTTGTTCATGGGACCTGTGAAGTATAATTATAGAGTAGCTACCACAATTTTGGCTTCAATATTTCTTTGTTCATGATAAACCTTCATGATTAGTGATTAATTTTGGATGTTATCGAGTGAGAGTAAAATTAAAGTCAATGAACTACACGTTGAGGAATCTTGTATTGCTAGACATACGAACAGGCATGCAAAATGACGTTTATTTAAGGCTATTGAGTTTTTGAGACGATAACAATGCCATGTGCTCTTGTGTGTGGTATTTTAATGAATATGATAATACAGTGATTGATTGTCGGGCTGGACAGCTTACTTGTACAGTGTAAAGCATGAATACTTTTGGATAAATGCTCCCTCTCATACTTTGGGGTCTTCAGGTCAGCATTATCCCACAGGCAATTATAAAAGCAAATTACTATCAAAGCTTTTATTTTCTTTCCGTTTGTTGAAATGAGGGTCGTCGGCAGCCCGCACAAATTAAAATTATAGGATACTCTTTTTAGATCTATTTATAAATTATTTTTAATATATTCTATTGGCACTACAAAAATCTTAAATTTTATTAATTTCATTTTAAAATTTAATAAATTTTAACCTCTACCTTTTAATAAAGACAAACAAAATTTTTTTAATAATTTTTATACTCTTTTGATTTAATAATGTAAGGAATTTTTTTAGAGATTAGATGTTTGAAAATGAGGCATATTTAATATTTTAAGGTGTAATCATTGCATTTTTCAAAAGTGTCTCCATTAAATAATTATTTTATATTTATTTTAGAATGAAACATCTTATTATATAAGGATAAATATAGAAAGATAGTTTTGAAAATAAGTAACTAATTTATTAGGGTGATATTTAGTTAAAAATGTCTTGTATTTTTGAATGGAGAGAGTATTATTTAATAAAAATAAAAAGGTAGAGATAAATATAGAATATAGTGAGGTTAAATGTTGGGATAACTAAAATTCGATTACATGATTCAAAAATGGCATATCACATGAATCACGAAACTTAATGTCAAACATAATAACATGTACTCCCTTCAATTTCATTTATAAAGCACACTCTAAAAAATTTATTTAATTTTATTTGCAAATCATGGTGTGATTTTTTAAGTAATATTTAAAAAATATTTTTAAAATTATCATTCATAAAAAAAAAAATAACATAATATTATTTTTTAAATTTATTATATAGAGATATATTTAAAATTATATACACTTTGATTTCTTATATTTTTTTATATTGGTGTTGGTAAAGTTGATAATAATTTAAAAAAAATCGGACGAGTATACGTGAAGAGGGGAAAAAAAGAAGAAAATAGGGAACGGAAATTGAAATAAACGGGAATCTTCCGGATGCAATAAGAAAATGACAACAGATAAAAAAAAAAAATACATTTTCAGGGTAAAATAGTGTTTAAGGTAAAGGCATAATAAAGGGGAATGGTATGGCCAAGGAGTGAAAACTGAAAAAGATCAAAAAAGGCAAGAAGTGGTGAAGATGTATGACGGATCACGGAAAGGGAAATTCACGGGCGCGTTTAGACACAAGTGGGCCGGTAATCATCATCAAACGTCTTTCTTCAATTACCACAACCATTCAACATGTAACCAAAATCACAGAGACAGCATTCCACGTGTATCACTGTACTTTTCGTGGGTCATTTCTTTTTTTTTTTTTTAAAAAAAGAAATAATCATGTCAAGAGCCAATCTTTTTGAGTGGACTCTTTTAAATTTTTACTCAGAAAGTTAATGCTTTTATTGAGAAGACAATTCTTATTTTGTGAATAGAGTTATCCCTAGAAGGTTCACTTAATAACTGAGACTATAATTTTCTTTTATTTTTGGGTAGGGCCTTTTGTTATTGTAGCTTCAATTCGTAAAATTTACAACTCACTATACTCATTTTGTTATTAATCACAAGAGCCTTTTTGCAATTTTGAGGAGTTCTTTTTAATAAGACCCATTTTTCAATTCTCTGCCATCTTTATCATATTTTGACGAGAATGCACATATGAATACAGAGAAAGGGTTTAGCTACGATATCAAGGGAAAATAATGTCGATTATTGGCAATTGTATTGCTTTTAATTAAGAAAACTGTGTTTGTTAATCTTTGCAAAGCATTTGAAGACTTGTATAACTATAATTTAGGATGGAAAGAATAAAGTTACTCCCTTCCATTCTATCACTGGTAAAAAGTTTCATTAAAATTAAAGAAAATTTTAAAATTTATTGATTTGTTCAAAAAAATTAACAAGTCTTTAATTTTATCTATATTAAATATATATTTTAATAATATATTTTTTTTTTCTATATTAAATTCAATAACTTAAAGTACCCTGTAAATATGATAAAAAAAAATATCGGTTTCCCTAATGAATAAAATAGGAGGAGATATACATGAATAATTACTTAAAAAATAAAAATCAATCAATACTAATTATATCTTAAAAATACTCTATCCATTTCAAATCATAAAACAACTTTAAAAGTATTTTATTGTCTCAAAATACAAAATAATTTTAATAAAAATATAGTTTTAATAATGATATTTTTTTATTATTACTCTTTAAATGAAGAGAAAATTAAAATAATTATAGTGCAATGATTAAGTTTGTAAATTTAAAATTATATCAAATAAAAAGCATGATTAAAATTTAATATTTTTATTCAAAAAATAATTTTATAAAGTATTATTATTAAATTTTATTATTAATATGTGTAATTTTATTTTAAATTATATAACAGTTTAGAATGGAGGTGGCATGATTTTACAAACAAGTATTATTAATAGTTAAAAATCTTAGTCAGAACTATAGTTATATATATATAGGGAGAAAAAAGAGAAAATTATGATTTATATTTAAAGAATGAAGTGGCAATTAGGGACCTGTCAATGAGCTTATTAAAAATAGAGAGAATTTTATTCAAGTTTTACATAAAAAAAATTAATTATTATAAAATTTAATAATAATTAAATTAAAAAAAATTAGTAACTGAATTAGTTGTTAATATTTTTAATTTAATTATCATTAAACTTTATAATAATTAATTTTTTTGCGTGACACTTCAATGCAATTCTCTTTAAAAAAATAAGTACGATGAGTAGACATGAATACAAACGGAGACAGATAAGATCAAAAGAAAAGTGACGTGACCCGCTGTTTTGTCAAAAGATGGACGCAGGAAAGATGAAGCGGGGCTGCCACTCGCACGCCACCATCGCCATTTGTCATTACAATTTTATGTACTTAATTTTATATATTTAATATAAGTTATTTAATTAAATTAAAGTAAATAAATTTTAATATATTAATAATAAAATTAATATAAATATATATATTTTAATTTAATTAAAAAAATTTAAATATATAAAAAATTGTTAATCTCATAAATATATAAAGTTAATTATATAATTTTTTTAATAATCCCATGGCTAGCACCATTCATCACAACGAAAAACGTTTAATGACAAATAAATAAATATTTCTATATTTCTTCTATTTTTAAGATTAATCACACAAAAATTTATAACAGCTCATTATTTTCATGTATAATATAAAAAATTTAACAAATTAAACTATCTGTAAGGTTTAAAAAAATCGGGGCATAAAATAATGCCATGCTAAGTTTTCGAAAGTATCTAACTATTATAGGGGGACGGATCATGGGCGAGTGAAGTTTTTCCATAAATTAGTGGCCTGTTTGGTACCAAAATCATGAGCCCATCGAATGCCAAATTTCCAATGGCCATCTATGGATTTGATTTTTTAGTACTCTTTTTTTAAAAAAAAATGTGCACTTTACTATATTTTTACAGTAGTTTCGAATTCTTCATATTAAATTTTAATTTCATGTTTATTTATTTATTTTAATAGTAACTTTATAAACTGCAAAAAAAAAAAAGAGGGTTAGGCAAATATAATCAAACGGTGCAAGGAAAAAACGGAAAGAAGGTGCAGAGTTTGGATTTCGAAAGGGAGGTTAAAGTGAAACCAAATTCCTTCTGGATAAGAGATCGTAATGTCTAAGATAAATGAAAGATTAATCTCTGAGCATATAAAGTCAGATTAAACCCTTTAATTAGCTGGGGAAAAAAAGTGGGCTCTATCCTAAAGTGAAGTTGTTTTGGTCTGTTGTCTCTCCAATCACTTGAACTCCTCAACCAGCCTCATAGGATCCTACTCCACCGCCTCGCTATTTAACACCACTTCTCCATCCCATCACACCGTCTCTCTGCATCTTTAATCCATACATTCTCAGAGATGGCCAGATCTGTGCCTCTGGTTTCCACCATTTTTGTCCTCCTTCTCCTTCTCGTCGCCACTGGTTCGTATCTCTTCACTCTTCCTTCATCATCTGACCTGATCCCCTATACTCTGCTCTAGTTTAATCAAAACACGTCCCACTTTCTTCGTCTTTTTCTCTCCGAAGATATCTAATCATTGCATGCTAACGCTGTTCATGTCTTGTGATGATCAGAGATGGGGCCGATGGCGGTAGAAGCGAGGACATGCGAGTCTCAGAGTCACCGCTTCAAGGGGCCCTGTATCAGGAAATCTAACTGCGCCAACGTCTGCCGGACTGAGGGCTTCCCCGGCGGCCACTGCCGTGGCTTCCGTCGCCGCTGCTTCTGCACCAAACCCTGTTAGCATCTGCTGGGCACCTTTTCCCTCTCTGGATGTCGTGTCCATCGTGTTTGAGAATAATGTTTCAGAGTCTTTGTGCAGTGTAATGCCTCGCCCCTTTGTCATGTCTTTAATTTCTGTGTGTTAGAGGTTCTGATCTTCTTGATTAAGGTGAAGAAAGAATGGCTTGTCGATCATGTGAAAGTGATCACCTAATAAACGAGCTCTTTCGTTGATCCTCCTTCTCTATTGACTTCCTATGCCTCGAGCGCAATTATTGTAACTATTATAAGAGGTAAAGTCAGGTAACGTGAATATCTTGAAAAAATTACGTGTAATTTCCCGTAGGGTTTAGAAGCATGCTTTCGAACTCTGAATCTCGTAGCCGATGGCTGAAATGTGGCGTCAACGTGAAGGAATGCTGAGAATCGAGCGGAGACTCCTGCTCCTGCTCCTGGATGCTGTTGACATAAATGAGAGGACTCAGAACTTGACTGTTAATGAAAACAAATTAAAGTATTAACAATTCTTGTAAGAAATCTAAGGCTTCGCGTTGTTTGGTTTCACTTTGAAATTTCATCGGCCCAGGGTCATGATTTTCAATCTCAAACCACGGACGGCTGCTTTTGGGTCAAAGAGCAAGCCGGATTGAAATATCATGTACGTGTTTGAATTAAAAAATTTATAATTAAAGTTAAAAATTAACTGAGGTAAGGTTGGAAAAAAAAATCTGTAATTATAATGTGATTTATATTTAAATTTTTTTATCATAAGTCAGTTGGACAAATTAAAATTTGTTTAAATGATTTAATTTAAAAGATAATTGAGATGTATAATGATAAAAATGGACATCAGTTTTATATATATATATATATATATATGACTAATTTGATGTTTTTAGGAAAAAAATATTAAACTTAAAATTATAATTTTTCAGAGAAGTAGATTACAAATATAAAATATATTGATAAGTCAAAAATTTTAATTTTTTTTAAAACGTTGAATTAAATCATAAAATTCAAAATATTCAATTATAATAAATTGAAATAAATTTTTAAATTATAAAATATTTAATTCATATAAACTATAATTTGATCTCTAATTATATTACAAACATGCTCATGATCATATATATTTGTCTTGACAATTCAGGTAAATTTAATGAGAATATCTTACGAGTATCTATATCACGCTCATGATCACCTATACTTTCATCTCTACTTCATATGAAATGCACATTAGTAATTAAATTTCTTCTAATAAAATTATGTCTTGCCATTGTTGCACAAATTATTTCTACAATAAATTTTATTATTTTTATTTTTAGGATTAATTGGACATTTTTAAAAATATCAAATTGTAAATTAAAATTTTATTTTTAAAAAAAGTAGAGTTAAAAAATTCAAAATAAATTGATATATATTAAACTTACAAAGTTAATAAAGATTCTTCCTTAGGCTTAAAAAATAAAAAGCTCGCTCCCTCTCTCACCTCATATGACATATACACTATCGTTTCGTCGTTCCTCACATTATTCAAGCATGTACACAGCAACATTATCACCAACCTCCTTCGTTGGTCAAATAATTTGTTGCAATGATGCTGTTCACACTCACAATTTGGTCCACGCTTACCATCAGCTGAATCCCTCTGATATGGTCTCCAATGTGTCTAATGCTTGCACAGTGCAACCATCAATCTTTTCAAATTCCATCAACGCTAGGGCATAAGATGGGAATCTTCAAGGCAGATGGATCTGATTACATGATCAATGAGTTTCAGTGATATCAGGAAGATGGAGTTGGTAGTAAGAATGTTGAAGATTTAGACCTGAGAGCGCGAGTCCATTTTGGAACAACTTGGAGCTTCAGGGGAGATAAAGAGGAGAGAGAATATAATATCAAAGCCCATTATGCAACACGCGTCAATAAGCTCCTTTTCCTGGCTTTATTACTAATGCTCATTTTATCTTGCCGCTCATTCAAATCTTTTTCTTCCAAACAAGATTTTAAATGGGGCAATGGGCGTTTTACCTCCCAACTGAGGTTTAGGCTGCCCCCAACCTCAGTTGAAAGGTAAAACCAAGCATGCTCATATATATAATGGGAAAATAGCATTGGAGGGCTGTTAGAGGAAACTACTTCTTGTTAAAATTTAAATGAAAAAAATTATTATTAATTTAAAACAAATTATTATTAAAATTTAAATGAATGTTTATTGGGAAAAAACAAGTATCTATTTGACGTTTATATAATTGCATTATGAATTTGTTACCTATCCATCACATCACGTTCGATGGGTAAGCCCCACGCTCATTCTAGTGGTTTCTCAATTATCATGAGTTTCTCAAATATCATTAGAAAGAAAGTGCAAAGTACCAATACATAGAGTTTTAACAAACACCTATACAAGTAAAAGAAGCATCACAGGATAAAATATCAACAAAAGGGGGTGGGGGATTAGATAACCAAAAAAGACACACTCCCTAATTGAAAGCAACTAGCAAGCCAATAGGCTGCTAGGTTAACAGTACGAGGAACCTATTTAAATTGCACACATAGAAAGGAAGAGCACAATGATCTAATATAATCTAAAATGCTCTAAGAATGCCACTTAAGACCAGCATCATTAGTGTTGAGAGCTTAGATGAGGGTTCGTCAGATTGAAAGATAACAGATGGCAAATTAAGGTCAGCAGCCATTTGAACTCCTTTGTGAAAGGCTAACACTTCATCTTGAAAGGTAGAATTAGCATTGCATTTACTACTGTACCATTCCACTAGTTCACCTTTATCATCTTTAAAGATAATTCTCATACCAACTTTCATGGGCAAACTAAAAGAAGCATCAATATTGCATTTAATAAAAAGATGGGTGAGCACATACCAACTTGGGGTGGGACCAAGAGGCATCTCATTTTGAGCACTAGCATCTTGATGGATACTAGACCATCTATGAACTGACCAAAATTCCAATAAAAGAGATTTAGATTGCTTAGTAAGAAATAGGAGTTCTATACAAGATCCCTTATACAGATGAGCACATCTAGATTTCTGGATCTACTAGCAAGTCATATCAACCAAAGCCTTACCAAAATCATCAAGATCATATTCAGCAAAACACCAAATCAACTAGTACTCTAATCGAGTAACATGAAAGTGATCAAGAATAAGAGTTAGATAGGAACAAAACCAAGTGTGCTTGACCTAAACGCAAGACAAGAAGAGATGTTCCAAAGTTTTAGTATTAGATTGACAATTAGGACAAAGAGATGAACAAACAATATTTAAATGATAAAGCTTAAACAAACAAGAAAAAGCATTTCTAAAAATTCTCCATAAAAAATATTTCACTTTCTCAAGGATTTCAAGATGCCAAATGATTTTCCAAAACTATTTTGACAACCAGAGAGCAACACGTCATGGCTCAATGTGCACAAGCCGCGGCTCATTGCCCTATTCTACAGCAAATAAGTTATTTTTCAACTGTTTTTAGTTTCTTTTACTCCTCTAAGATATCTCATACTTTTATAATTTATTTTTACTCTGATATAAGAGTTTATAAATGGTTTAAACTCAATTTGATTATGAAAACTTGAAATTCCTTAATTTTAAAATAAAAACTTGGTAATCTCCTAAATGAGTTAATCTTTTGATTACCATAAATTAGTTAATTATGATTAGAAGAGGAGATATCACATGTCATGCATGCGTTGTGGTGCATGGCCAAAATTACTGATAAGTAGTTTGCAAATTGAGATAAAAAATAAAATAGGAAGAAGGAGAAAATGAAGAGAAAGCAATAAAGATCTACTAGGGTTCACATTTTAAGAGGTATTTAGAGTATTTTAGAGCTAGTAACCACTTGGGGTAAGTTTCCTAAGCCCTAATCTCCCTTTCTCTTCCATTCTCTTAAAGTTTTTAGTTAGGGTTTGATAATGAAAAATAATTTTTGATCTATATAGGTTATAGATCCAAACCTATTATAGAGTTAATGGGGTTAGTTATTTGAGGTATTTAAACCTAGGATTGATGAGTTTACATGTTTTGATAGTTATGGGTTCATTAATAGCCAAAAATGCCATTTATTATGAAAGATAGGGTTGGTTGGAGAGCCATTAATGATAATATGAAAGTTTAATGAAGCTACTGAGAGTTAAAGAAAGTTAATAAATCTAATGGGTAAGCCCAAAGGCAAGAATTATGGGCATTGGGTATTTTAAAAATAAAAAATAAGAGTTAAGACATTTGTAGCATTATAAATTGAGGTTGGATTTGATTGATTGTAGATTAATCATTTGAGCACCACATTTGGCTCGGGAATCAAGCTTGGAAGCTATTATTAAGGGGTAAACCTTTAACTTCTAAAACGTTTGAAGTAACTGAAAAAACCCTACTTTAAGCAGTTGTCTATTAATTGAATTTATTATAAAAATGGGTTTATTGCATGTTTAATTGAAGTTTGTAAGTATGGAATACATGTCATAAGCCCCTTGTTAGTGTATTAACTTTGAGTTGACCAAAATATAGAGTTGAACTCAAAATGATAATTAAGCTTTGATATGTAATTGAAATGAGAAAAGTTTTGTGTCATGTCATGATTGCATAAATGCAAGGAAGTGTAAATAATATGTTATTGTTAGATAAGGATTGGAAATGTGTTTTAGTGATTGAGAAAGTTTGTAAAAATGAGATTTGATGCTCACTTAGATAGTGAATTATCATAAGCCCTGCATGTTGACATTGAAATATTGAAATTGTGAAATAATTGAGCATTGTACATTGCATAATTGGTTGGTACAAGTTCGTTTAGAAAGAAGAGTAGATAAAATCTATATGATATTTTTGGCTACCCTTTGGTGCATAAGGGTATAACCTTATCTCATAGTTTATTGAAAGACTAAAACTCAGTTATTTTCACCAATTTATTGAGGAGGTTAGCTTAAGGTATACAACACTCTAGGGATTCGAGAGTGGGAAAAATTGTGGTCCGATAATGAGTTATGTGATCTTTGGTCAGGTCACACCTCATAATTGGTGAGCTTAAATAGTCCAATCACACAAACAGAGCCCTATGTGATATTATAGCCCATGATTTTAATCAAAAGTTATAAGAAGGGTATAAGGTGATTGATCATGCATATATGTTCATATGATGTGTCATATGATTGTTTAAATTTGTGGCAAGTTGTGATAATAAACTGGATCATTGTCACATGTCAGTGTATCTTGTAACAA